TGTTAGTTACACTTCAAACAAATAAATAAAACTCACTGTCATTCAGTTGATTCTGACTCACAGTGACCCTACAGGACAGAGTAGAACTGCCCCTGTGGGTTCCCGAGACTGTAGCTCTTTATGAAAGTAGAAACGTTTATCTTTCTCCCGTGGAAAGGAATGGCTGGTGCTTTTGAACTGCCAACCTTGTGGTTAGCAGCCCCACACACAACCACCAGGGCCCCTTAGAGTTACACTTACATAGCATTGTTCGATATCTGGCCTAGACCGGTAGTTGACACAGTAACTCCCGTAGCCCAAGAAGATGGGAATACATATTCCTGGCAGAGATGAGGAGATCCAGACTGTCAGAACACCAATGAGGCAGTGAGTGTGGGGAAGCGTGATGGGAAACGAGGCTTCTTGGGTTTGTACAAAGCCGGGCCCCTGCCATTGTGGACCAAATGGGAGATGCAAATTCCCTGAGGTCTGTGAGGTCAGGATAGCATTTGGGAACATGTAGGGCAGAATTCCAGGAAGCTGGTAGGAAACCCACCAGGGTCCCAAGGTCCACAATAAATGTGATGGAAGCTTATTCTTGCAAGGAGTTGTTTAACCTCTGCAAACCTGTGCTTTCTCCTCTGTGAAATGGGACACACATACGAGCCTAGTTCGGATGATGAGACGTTTAAGGAAGAGACTCCCTACAAAGCCCCGAGCATTAACCTGCTTCCACTTATTGACGGGTTTGGTGGCACATGGCTAAGATGAGCTGATGGTGGAACTCAGGAAAGGCTCCACCTTTTCCGAGCATAGAGCTAGTCATGTGGCAGTGGCTGACTCGGCAGCGAAGTATCCCCGAAGAGCCCTGCTCTCAGCCTCAGCCAGGTGAAGTGGCAGGCTCTGCTCTAAGTCACACACACAAAACAAGCCTCGCTGCCACCACGTTGACTCTGACTAGAGACCCTACAGGGCGGCGTAGAACTAACTGCCTCTATGGATTTTAGAAGTGGTAAATCGTTGCAGGAGCAGAAAGTGGAGGATGAGATTGAACCACTGTCCTTGCAGTCAGCAACCCAACACATAACTCAGTACGCCACAAGGGCTCCTCCGCTTAGGCTCCAGCCAGAGGCAAAGCTTTGGAGAAGCAGGCATGCCTCCCCATAGGGCTTTCTCACTCTTCTGACTCCTCTCCCCAGAGCCCCCACAGTCCCATGTTGGGAGAGAAGTACGCTCTCCTTCCTGATGAGATACGTAGAAATTTCTTTCAACAGATTACGTAATCATTAAGTAATCCCAATCCCAGGGTTACTGGGCGGACATGCCCTCACACCCCTGTGCCCGTGTCCACACTCAGCTATCTGACAAAGCTCGTATGACACACAAAGGGAGGACGCACTTGGCTGTTAGCCCAAAGGATGGTAGGTCAAGTCACCTGGAAGCACTTCAGGAGAGAGGCCTGGCAATCCTCTTTGGGAATAAACAGCCAGTGACAAGCCAAGGAACGCAGCCTGACTGTCGCACAGGCAGTCTCCACGCGTCGAATCGGACTCACAGCAACTGGGTTGCTGTTACTATTGTTGTGAAGATGTCAGACGGTTTCTCGCGAGATTCCACTTTCTAATGACTTGTTTTCTCTACTTTCAAACTCTATAGATTCATCACCAGGGAAGACACACAAATGACAAGAAGAACCAATGTTGGGGGGAAAGCCCAAACTCACCGTCAAGTCAATCTGATTTAAAGCAAGCCTAGAGGACAGAGGAGAACCGTCCCTTTGAGTTTCTGAGACTTCTAAACCTCTACAATGGCAGACAGTCTCATCTTTCCCCCCTCGGAATAGCTGGTGGGATAAACCATTGGCCCGGAGGTCACCAGCCCAATGTAAGTGTAATGACATCACCAGGGATCCTGTTAAGTTTTCATGTGTGGCAGAAGGACCACTTCTGGATGGCTGGTTGGTTTGGTAGCACTATGGGGTTAAGCCTTGAGCTGAGTATCTACCAGGTTGGTGGTTCAAACCACCTAGCCGTTCCTCAGAAGAAAGATGAGGCTGTTGACTTTGAGCTCATTTGGATGACTCGTACAAGGGAAGCCATGTCCACCACCCAAGGCCTTTCATATATGACTACACGTGCCCAACACAAATTGGGTTCCACGAACCTGGGTGGCACAGTGTCAGGATTAAGCGCTTGGCTCTAATCAAAAGGTCCATGGTTTGAGCCCAGCAGTTGTATCACAAGAGAAAGATGAGGCCGCCTGCTTCCATTAACATGCCAGGGAAACCTGACAAGGCAGTTCTACTCTGCAAGGTGGTGGTGTGTTGGAATTGACTCGACAGCAAATGGGTGCAGCTTTGTTTGGTAGCGTCCGACTGAAGCAGAATAGGGGCTCACCCCCCTCCCACTCCCCTGCATGCCCCCACCTTCACTAGATCAGATTGTGAGGATAAGCCCCATTCGGTCATTGCCTCTCTGTACACTTTCCTTCCAGGTTTCTCTGTGTTTGGGGTGCGCACAGTGCACTGCTGTGTGTGCGTATTTCTGTCACGCATCTGTCTGTGTACATGTGCCGTGCAGCCCACTTTGAGCCTGAAAATACCAAACAAGACATCATTCAGAACCCTCGCTGACAACCTCTTCCTCCTCTCTCCCCAAAACTTCGCAATCAATGCCGAATTTATCCTTGGGTGTGAATCTCTGCATCCACT